GCTCCACGTGCGCCATGTGTGCCGCATGCTCCAGCAGCGCCAGGTGCGCTACGTCCGGGGCACGCGCAGATTGTGCCAGGTGCGCCCGCGCACGTGGCAGTACACATCGGGAACCGCATCGGCCCCCACCACCCTTGTCGAAAATCAGTCAGCAATCGCGCGGGGGAGACCATCATAGCGTCTGGTGGGCCTGCACATCGCAGGTAACATGCTAGCCTCCCCGCCGTCTCAGTCAAATTCCAATGCGCAGTGATTCGCGGGGTGGCCGCGCATGATCCATCTTTTGACTCGAATTGCATGTTGTCTTGTTTCTGGAAGGGATAGTGGCACTGCTCACGGCAGGCAGCATGACGGCACCCCCGCCGTCCCTGTCAGAAACTATACGAGGTGCTCGCGCCCCGACCCACGATTCTGCCCCACAGTGGACCTCGCTTTTCCTGACCAGGGATGGCCAGAAAAAGGGTCGATGTTGGAGGTTCCAGGGTCGAGGGTCGATCGGGGGCCCTCGAGCGGTGCGGTGACAGCACCGTGTGGTTAGTCCGTTGGGGTTCGGGGTGGCCCCACGCGTGCTGGGACCGGGGCCCCTCTCCGAGGACGTCTCGCGGCCGTGCGGCGGCGGTCCGTGCGGCGGGGTCTCTCTGAGGGATCCCGAGGTCACCGCACGGTCTGGCCCTGCACCGCCTCGGGGCTGGAAGCGAAAGGGCCCGAGGTTGGTCTCCTTGTTCCTGGTTGGCTGCAGGTCGCCTGGGGGAGGTGGTGTTGACGGAGAACAGGGATCACGACACCCTCCCCGCCCGAGGGCGGTCTCGCTCGCTCCTGCCCGCCCTCTCAAAACAAGGAGCACACGGGCCTCAGCATGTGCAGCGGCCGTCCATGGATGGGCAGCTCTTGGGAACCAATGCGGACCCCTTGTGCGCGATGGGGCGAGGTGCGCCACGCGTGCCAGGCGCTCTAGCTGCGCAAGGCACACCTGTGGCCCAAGCGTGCCAGGCGTGCCTCGCGCGCCAGATGCGCCACGTGCTCCACGTGCGCCATGTGTGCCGCATGCTCCAGCAGCGCCAGGTGCGATACGTCCGGGGCACGCGCAGATTGTGCCAGGTGCGCCCGCGCACGTGACAGCACACATCGGGAACCGCATCGCCCCCCACCATCTGTGTCGAAAAGGAGTGCACAATCGTGGCGGGGAGGCCATGATGGTACCTGGTGGGCCTGCACACAGCAGACAATATGCCAGCACCCCCGCGGTCCTTGTCAAACGCAAATTGACCGTGATCGCGGGGTGTTCGCGCATGCTTCAGACGTAGCCGCGAAGTGCATGTTGTATTGTTTTTGACAGGGATGGTGGCCTTGCGCAAAGCAGGCAACATGAGGGCAGCCCCGCCGTCCCGGCCAAAAACACTACAGAGTGCTCGCGGGGACCACGAGCATGACCCAAGACTCTGCCTCAAGGTGTGCTTCGCATTGGTTGTGGACCGGGATCCGGAGGGTTGTCGCACTGGTCCTGGCTGGCTGCTGGTCGCCTGGGGGAGGCAGTGTTTATTAAAAGGGAAGCTGGAAAGAAAGAACAGTGATAAACCCATCCTCGAAGGGGAAGATGTACTGTTGGAAGAGGAAGCTCTCCAGGCCACTCACGCCCTAAAGGACTGGTGTGATTATCCCCCCCATCAGGCCAAACTGTGGCCAACATCTTAGTATAATCAATGGTGCACTGTTTGAGGAGATCGATCAAAGGAGGGACCGCAATGCACAACATAAGGCCCCCCCTCCCCAGGATGCCAAGATGTGGCCAAAACTTCTAGTACAATCAGTGATTTTGGCCTTCTCGTCGAAGCCTGGTCGTCTTGGGGCCTCCTGGGCACCTCTCGGAGCGGTCTCGGGGGGGAGCTTCGGGAGCCATCTTAGGACCCTCCTGGAGGAGATCAATCAAAGGAGGGAAGCTCCTAAATTTGACCCCCCCACTTTGAACAGAGGCCAAAGGCGAGATAGGAGGGACGCGCCTGCGTCCCGACGCCGCTTGGCTCAAGCGGCGCCGCTCGATTTGACTGCCTCATCCGTGAGGCACTATCGCATCCACAAAAAAGGAGACGTGCATTTCTTCCACGATGCAGCCCCTCTTCCCATGTTTTATCTTTTGTTTACTCGCTCATACCTACAGTATGGAGAAGTCATGGGTTACTATAGTACGCTTAAGGCGTAATGCATGGTACGGCTTGCCGTGCTACTTTTTACTCCCCCATGAGGCAAACATGTGGCTAACATCTTGGTAACATCGGTGATATTTGCTTCCTCGCCGAGGCCATCTTGGACGCTCCAACGCCTCGCAACCCCTCCCCTGCAGATCCAATCGACGCTGGTATCGGGCAACCCCGCTGGGGCTCACCACCTGGCTGCAGACATCCTCCGGACTCTGAGCCCCGGCTGGCGTTTTAGAAGTCTGACTTGCAGTGTTACGGTCAAGCCGCACAGTAAGGATTTCCGACCCTCCAAGGTTACCTTTGCACCCCTGCCCCTTCGGCCTATCCTTGGCGACTTTCGCTGGCCGGCCCCGTGCGACTCAAGGCCATTTCATCCTTGCCGCGGATCCTCACATCGGAGGCCTGTGCCAGGAAACACCCTGCTTGCCTCAAGGGTGCCCTGCGTTTCTTGGGTTCCGATGGTTCTTCGATGGAAAACGTGACGTCCGCATACCAAACATTTCATGTATATCTTAGGGTCTTAGGGTTGGTTGTCTTGTGGAAGGTTTCTCTTGTGGTCGGGCCTTGAAGGAGGAGAAGCAGGAGGAGGGGGAGGAAGAGGAGGAGGAGGAGGAGGAGGAGGAGGAGGAGGAGGAGGAGGAGAAGGAGGAGGAGGAGGAGGAGGAGGAGGAGGAGGAGGAGGAGGAGGAGGAGGAGGAGGAGGAGGAGGAGGAGGAGTAGAACGAGGAGGAGGAGGAGGAGATGGAGGAGGAGATGGAGGAGGAGGAGGAGGAGGAGGAGGAGGAGGAGGAGGAGGAGGAGAGGAGGAGGAGGAGGAGGAGGAGGAGGAGGAAGGGGAGGACGGAGGAGGAGCTCCGAGAGGCGGGCCCCTCTGCCCCTGCAGAGGGCTCGCCCGTGCCCCCCTTGGCTTCGCGCTCCGGGGGGGCCCTGGGACGGGTCGGCCCCCGGCAGCGGCGGGAGCTCGACGAGCGCACCCCGCTCCTCGCTCCTCCTCGCTCCTCCTCGCGCGTCCTGGCTCCTCCTCGCTTTTCCTCGCCCTTCCTCGTTCCTCGTCGCACCTCGCTCCTCCTCGCTCCTCCCCGCTCCCCCTCCGCAGAGGCCGCGGCACTGCCGCTGGTGAGTCACGGAGCTTGGGATCGCTCGGACCTGAGGGGAACAAAAAGTGGCACAAACATACAAACTCGGAAGTCCGCGCGGATTTCTCAGATCGGCGCTGGACCCCCCTCCCTGTCGCGCGGAGCGCGCCAGGGGCGGCGCCAGAGGCGCCGCTGGGGGGCCCCAGCGTTGATCCGAGAGATCTGCGCGGACCTCCGAGTTTTTATGTTTATGCCACTTGCTGTTCCCCTAGACCTGTGCACACTGATTCCTTCCGGTTCCGATTCGGTTCGACCTGGGATTCCGGTTTGGGTTCTCGGTTTGGGTTCCGATCTCTCATTGGAGGCATGGTGGCCTGCCGATTTCCGCCGAGATTTGACTTTTCCCGACTCGGCTGCCGATTTCGGCCGATCCGATTCATGTCGATCGCCGAGTCGACTAATCGATTCGAATATGGGCTCTCCTGACAACTGCACGCGCGAGACCGAAGACTGCGCGGGGAATGGACGTCCGATCGATGGCAACGGAGGCCGCTCGTCTTGGATGAGAGTGTATGTCTGCGAATCGTCCTCAAATGTCGCCCAGCAGCGCTGAGTAGCGCTCCAGTGGCGCCCCAATAGCGCCCACCAGCGACCAGTGGTGCAATGGGAGGGATAGGCATCATGTCCGCTTTGCGCGCGATGCGATGGGTCAAGGGAGGAAGAACCACCCGAACCCGTTGCTAAACGGCCCTGGGCGTTCCCCAACCAGCCCTGCCCTGCTCGGTTCCTTCTCTGGGTGCGTTCACCAAACGGCCTCGCCTTTCGGGGTGGTTAATTATCGTGGGGGTGTTTCTTTCGCCCTCTGCTGGGGCGCGCCATTGGGCGCCACGGCAACGACCAGCAGCCTCCGTGAGCTGCTTTCTGACTGCCGCTGCGATCGGCGGCCGGGCTCGCAGAGCAGAGCGAGGGGGCTCGGCTCCACGGTGCTCGGCCGGGCCACGGGAGGAGGAGGAGGAGGAGCCTCTGCTTTGTCCCGCCGGCCTTGGCTTCCAGCCTGCGCCGTCGCCGTCGCCCGTCTGCTTCTCGTTCCCGTTTTCTCCCTCTCCGTCGCCGCGCAGCACAGAGTGCGGGTTACCGGGGTTGCTGCTGATGGACGGACCTTCCTCTTGTCCGCTCTTTCGGGGTGTGCGTAGGTCCAAGCAGTGACGAGGAGTCCCGTCTCGCTTATAGGACCACTAGAGAAGTGCCAAGAACCTTCTGTTGTTTGCACCGAATGCCAGACCGTCTCGTTACAAACCATCGGCTTTGTGTTCGAAGAGCAGTGCCCTTCTAATTCGAATGTGCCTTGATTTTAAGAACATGTCGATGTAGGCCTATAGGAACACGAGGACGGTTGGTCCCTGCTCGATAGATAGCGGGTTCCAAACTGCCGCCGCGTAGTTCGAACAGAGCCCTCTCGAGGCGGTCATCGTTTGGCGGACCCCGTCCCGTGTCCCACGACAGGCATAGTCAGCCCGTAGCGTCAGCATCGTTCAACCGATGCCCATCCCCACTTGGGCCATGGGATCTCAGCCCCGCCAGCCAGACCCCCAAGGTGGGGCTGGGCCCCACGAAACCAGAAGGGAACAGCATTTGTTCCCATCTAGGGTGGTGGATCAATCATTGGGGCCATGAGATGAGCCATGCCAGAGGGAAACGAGGATAGGTAAGCGATGCTCACAGCGCGCAGGAACGGAACTTCCTTTTCAGCAGGGTGTTCGGCGAGGACGGCACACAGGCTGCATGGGGGGGGAGCGCCGCCATGAGCTTTCTCGGAGCCACGAGGCCTCTTCCGCGGAGGTCCAGCCTTCTCTCTTAGGTGTCGTAAGGCCAGGCCAGGGCCTTCTCCAGAAGTGCAGGACGGGCGGGGAGTGGAAGGCATCGAGGACCGAGGACCGAGGAGGAGGAGGAGGAGGAGGAGGAGGAGCATCGGGAGGAGGAGGATGAGGAGGAGGAGGAGGAGGAGGAGGAGGAGGAGGAGGAGGAGGAGGAGGGGGAGGAGGGGGAGGAGGGGGAGGAGGAGGAGGAGTAGGAGGAGGAGGTGGGGAGGAGGAGGAGGAGGAGGAGGAGAGGAGGAGGAGGAGGAGGAGGAGGAGGAGGAAGAGGAGGAGGAGGAGCAGGAGGGGAAGAGGAGGAGGAGGAGGAGGAGGAGGAGGCGGAGGAGGAGGAGGAGGAGGAGGAGGAGGAGGAGGAGGAGGAGGAGGAGTATGAGGGGAGGAGGATCAAGGAGGATCGATGAGGAGGATCGAGGAGGAGGGTCGAGGAGGATGGTCGAGGAGGAGGACCGAGGAGGAGGGTCGAGGAGGAGGACCGACCGAGGATCGAGGAAGCAGCGTGGACTCCCTCGGACGCCCACCTCCTCCCATCTCCTCCTGCCGACTCCTACCTGCCACCCCCCGTCGCCCTCACGTCGTCGTTGTCCTCCCTTCTGCTGCTTTCCCTGCACCTCCTTGCCCCTTCTCTTCTTCGTATTTTTGTCCTCCTCGTCCTCTCCTGCTCCCGGTGGTGGTGATGCTGCTGCTGCCCATCTGGGGAGGGCTAAGAGCATCAATGTTAATTACGCTCGTCATCATTTGAACTGCGCGTGCCACTCATTCGGAGCGTCTTTAACAGTACCACGCTGATGGGATGGGTCGTCGGACTTGTGTCACGTTGATGCTGTGTTGCTCACCGACCTCCGCGGATCTGCGCGCTTCGCTTCTCTTCGCTTCACTTCATGATCCTCTTCCCGCGCGTGGCGTCACTCCGTGGGCCTCCTCCAGCGTTTCTCGAGAGCGGCGGTGTTTCTGGTTACCCCCAGAGCGCGGGCCTACGGTATTGTCCCCGAGCGGGACTGCTCCAACTTTGGATTTCTCTAATTTTGATCTATTCCGAGAGGGCTCGAGTCAACTGCTCTTCGGGAGCGTCCACGAGGGGGGTGATGGGCGGGGTGGATGTCATGGCCTGGGTCATGACATCTTCCTCGATGTCATGGCCCGCTCTTCAAACTTTGAAAGAGCGTTTTCTGACCCTGCTGGCAGGGGGGGGGTCAGCTCCCCCCCTTCCCACCACCTAAACGCCTCGGGATAAGTATTGGGGTGGGGTCAAGAAACCCCTCCGTCCCTCAAGGCGACCATGACGACGACGACGACGACGACGACGACGACGACGACGACGACGACGGCGGCGGCGACGACGACGACGATGACGACGACGACGACGACGGCGGCGGCGGCGGCGGCGACTGGGAGGGGGGGGGTCGCTACCCCTCCTCCCTTCCCTTGCGCGGGGGGGCGGGGGTGGGGATTCGGACCTCCTGGATCTTGGGGGCGAGGCCCGGTTTCTGAGGACCCCCTCTGTGCATTTTTTGGCGGGGGTCCCTGGTTTCTGAGACTCCGACACTCCCCTCGTAGACATATGTCATGCCAGCGACGGTGGATCGCGCTTCTTCTTCAATTTCAACACGTCCCCTGGGCCGCGCACATGCCTCGGGCCATGTTTCGCAAACCCCACTCTTGGACGCCCTCCTATTGGACGCCCCCGAGTCCTGGTATCTGGCATCGTCGATTTACCACACTTCGAAGTGGACCTATAAAATGCCGAGTGGCGTCGGGTGGCGTCGGTTTGCCAGGACCGTGTGTACGATGGGTCGTGGACTCGTGGCCTTGGGAGTGGGAACCCAATGCAATTTACGAGAGATCGTTGCCGTGGGAGCGACCCGCTATGTTTCACACGGGATGGCGGCCTTGCTAAGGGTTTGTGCCCCTGGGAGCGTGGGAGCCGATGACATGCCCGTGGCACCTCCGAGGTCGAGATTACAATGTCAAGTAGGGAAGACAGTTTTTTTGTTTCTGGTGTGCACATGCTGATATGTTTTAGCAGGTACACTCTGGTGTCTGGGGGAGGCGTGCGTTTACCAATTTAGAGCGAACGTCTGCCTTCGTCGCGAAACAAGCACGCCAACAGTGTATGTTGCGTAGTTACTGAGCGTACCAGGTTCGTTCAGGGGGGGTAGGCATAGGGGGGAGGGGTGCATCGACCCCCAATCGCCCATTGATCGCCGATAGGGGTCTGATAGCACCAACCCGCCCAGGAAGGTGCGGATTCACTATCGGGGGTCTATCGCCGATTTATCAGCGATGTATCACCGATTCCAGGTCGATGCATCCCCCCCTATGCCAGTCCCTCCCTATCGGGGCCCCTCATACGTAGTTAAGACAGCCTCCTCCGCCCAGCCTGGTGGCTTCGCAAGGCGGGCTTGGTTACACACGTATGTGCTGTTCGTACGAGCCGAGTTTGGAATTGCCCCCGCTAGCAGTAATTTCCTTACAGGTCGTGTTCATGACGTCTGCGTGCGCGCGCCGATGTCGAGATGGCGAAGAAGTGTATCAAGGGTACGGCGCTGGTATCTGCTATTGTGGGTTAGACGATTGCCGATCCCCAGACCCGTCGCGCAAAAGTTTGCGGGGGCGCTTGCCGGCCGTTGGCGGCCGCCCAGGCTGCCAATGCCACGGGGGGACGACGCCAGGCGCGCCGACTCGCAGCTTCTGCGACTCTGCGACGCTCGGGGGGCATCAGACCTAGGCGTTTTGCCTCGAGAGACGCGATCCAACATGTTCAGGCGATCGCAAACATGGATCAGGGGGGCGTGCGTTAGCGACGGGTCCCGTTTAACATGGGGAATTTCGGATTTCCGCCGCCGGACGAGGCGGCACAGGCCGAATTTCGGGGAGGGCACATCCCCCGGTCCATGGACTTGGTGACCGCGCGCCAAATCCATGGATCGCTAATTCATGTTTGCGCGCCCCCGACGTGTCAGCAGAAGTGCCCGAGGTGGCACAGTGGCGTCTCAGAGACGATGCCGACTGTCCACGTGGCGATTCCCCGGCGCTGCGGGGAAGACGGCCTCTCGTTCCGTCTCGGTGGGCTTTCGGGGCAATTCGAAGGTAGCCCCGCCGGGGGGAGCCATGGAGATGGGCCCCCTCCCTCCTCCATGGTGGCACAATTCGCTACAACGGTACCCCCGTCTAGGTAGCCCTCCGCCAGCGCAGTTGCCCTGCCTAGCCGCCGTTGCAACACGTTTTGGGACGCAGTTCGGGGAGCATGCAGTGCAGCCTTGCCCCCCTGGGATTGGAGAGTGGGGCGGGGTTTCTGCTTCGCTTGTGCAGCTCAGGCAACACACAACCAAGATCCCCGACGCCATGACTTTTTCATAACGTCGACCGTCGACCCCGACAGGTCTCGACCCATTCCCCAGGACTGGTTTTTCATCCTGTGTGGTTTGGGACGGTTACGGGGGTCGGTGAGGGCCCCCGGAGGCCGAGAATAGCGGAACTCGTCCGTCGTGTTTTTTTGTTGTCACGACCCAAGGCTGTCTAGGAAGGCAGCGTTGCCCCCCCCTTAGAAGAGCAGAAGGTGGCGGTTTGAGTGTGGCGGTTGTTCTGTCCCCAGCACACGCCTCCGCGAACGGCTCGTGCCCCCGGGACACCCGCTCTGTCCGTTCTCCCACTTTGGCCCTGGGGGCATGCCCTGAAGGACTTGGGACCGGAAGTATAGCAGAATAAGCATTTCGGGGCCTAAGAGACGGGGGTCAGTGCAAACGGGGGTGAGCCAGGGCACCGGATCCTGCAGGATCCTGCGAAGTCCCCCTCTGGCTGACCCGGGTCAGCGAGCCGCTCGTGGCCGCGAGGCGGCTGCGCCTATTGGTTGACCCCGGTTTGCGAAGACCTGCGTTGCAGTTTTTTTCCATGCATTGCAGTTTTTTGGTTTCCTGCTGACCCGGGTCTGGATTGACCCGGGTCAGAAGATCCCCAACCTTTGGCCCTGGGGGCATGCCCTGAAGGAATTGGGACCGGAAGTATAGCCAAATATGCAATGCAAGGTGCGCCCCTTCTGGAGTCATCTAAGGGTCTGAGGTGGCCCAGCACTGGTTTTAGTTAGAAGGGGGGAGGGGGGGGCGAGGTTCGAGAGTTCTGGGTTCGAGAAGGTTTCTTGCCTGAGTCCGTCTCCGAGGGCCGCTTTCGGTCCCCGGGACCACGCCACCCGCTTGACCCCGCACGGGAAGAACAAAACATTGTATGAAGCATACCTTTTCGGATTTCCGCGCGGATTTCTCTGATGGGCACTGTGGCCACAGTTTATATTTATGCAGGGTCCCCAACGTCGCCTGTTTGACTCCGCACGCTTGTTGGCCACGCGTTCGGGGAGTGCCAGCTATTGATGCATTGATGCGTCCCGAGCTCGGGGTTGATGTACGCCCTCGACGGGTCTATTTCCGCTTTTGATTGTATGGCGGGCAGGACGCATCATCGCTTTCCACCAGGCCATGGTAGCTTCACAATCGTCACATATAATGTTGAGCGCGAAGTAATCAACTACCTAATCTGAGTCTGGTTCGCGTGCCTTCCCAGCTTGGCAAGGAGATGTCACTTCGGTACTTCGTGGTGCTGGCACTCCCTTCTTGAGTGAGGCCGTACGGTATGCTCGCGTCACGTCGACTGGCGGCGACCCCGCCGCCGGCCTTCACCGTTGAGCGCTGCCGGCGACCCAGAATCGGTCAATGCTGAACGATCTGACTTCTCGGAAGTGGCCGATCCTTCGAGGTGGAACGCTCCCCCGCGGTGGCAGAGACCACCGCCGAGGTCGGCACGACACGCACCTGCCGCACGCGGAGCTCGCGCCGCCATCGCCTGAGGTGCCCGCATCGGGCCCCAGGCAGGGCCAGCGGCAGGCCGCGGTGTGAGGGACCGCTGCGGCCCTGCCGTGCGCCCCCCCGGCCTGGCCCCGTGTGCAGGCCGACGTCTTCGGCTGCGCCCGGGGCCTGGTGCGCTCGGCG